GTTCAGAAGGAGGTAGGTCATCACGGTGCATGGTGTTAAATAAAGGCATAATATCTCGGTGCAGAGAGTCTAAAGCTAAATCTGTGTTATGACACATATCATCTTTAAAATGGACCTAATTTATTAATTGACTCCCCATAAAAAGTGGCAACTTTCTTCCCATGATATTTGAATTTCATGTGCTATCTTTTCTATTTATGTATTAATTTTCTTAGAAGAGTGACCACTATATGCTGGTGAACTTGCAAGAGAGTTATAGTTGACAGAGGAGATCAAAGTCATTTGGGCCTTTCTTCTAGCAAAGAAAGGCAGAAGAAAGAGAATGAAAATTGTATGCAAAAATAGAAAACAGTTGGAGATGATGAGCGGAAACTGAAGAGAAACGGGAAAAAACAGTCTAGAGGGGAATATTTTTGTGATAGAAGATTATCGATAATGATTAAGTACATAACAGGTATAACTTTGATTTTATTATGTAGGCCAAACTGCTTTGGATATTTGTAGGGCAATCTTGTTGACAGGAATTGTGAAAATTTTGGGGGTTTTTGCTACAAAAGTAGCAAGAAGATGGTACTTGAAGATTTCAGAATTTGGATCGAATTGGAAAAAATAGTTTGAGATGAAGTGAAAATGATAACGTTTTCAAAATGTCAAAATGGTTTGTCTCATGAAGCATCTAAAATGTTTTGACATTTCCGGTTAGTTTTCAGATACTATAATAAAAGCCAAGGAAATGATTTCACAAAACCACTGAAAGAGGCTCACAATTTGTTTTTTTTAATGCTGCTGCCAAGCAGTCAGGGTATTCCCTTCTACCACCTACTGTAGTAAGAGGTACCACCTCCTGCCATTGCCTGTGAGTTAGGAGCTTAGACCCTCTTTGTCTATGCAAAGAACAGCTCCAAAAACAACAAAAAAAGGAGGATGTTTCACCCTTAAATTGTACCAATTGTACCAATATCTCTTAATTCGCTTCTGGGTGGTGTAGTTGCAGGTCCTTCAGACTGAAGAGAGAATTAAATGACATCTCCTTCACTGTGGGCGAATGACATAAGACCTGGTGGTAATGACGTGACCACTAAGCAAGGAGTTGTTCTTTGGGCAGCTTTGAGCATAGTTAAGTTCCTTTTATGACAAGTTCCTT